GCATATCTGAAATTCATTATAAAATAATGAATGATTATAACTAAATTATGTGAATATTCCAAAAATATTACTAGACATTACTCTATAAATTTGTGATGTAATCTTCTCTTCTAATAAAAGACTCCTTGAAATGTCACATGTCATTACACCAATGATTTGCCACGTGGTGTTTTTCTAAAGGCTCGCCGGATGATTTCCTGCCCATCTTCTTTGTAATTGTAAAAGACCGATTATAAGTAATTCTTGATCATTCAAATTCATATTAAGGGTGAATTTTTTTTGTCAATATGCCAAAATATAAGTAATTTTTTTTCAATGCATAATAATTTTTAACCTCAAGTCTTATATATGTTAAGATTAAGAGGGTGTTTGAGATTTCATTTTGAACCTCAAAAGGATTTTTAAGCAAAATGGATTACTGACTTATGATGGTGAGAAAATGAGTTTTTTAAAAATGTTTGGATTAACTTTTATGGTGGGGAAAGTCAACGAGTCAATATGTTGTGTTTTAAAAAATGTTTGTCTTAACTTATACATGTTTTAGGGGGTATTTAACTTTTACAACCCAAAAAATTATAAGGAGTTTTGAAAAGTGAGAAATTCTAACTTATTGAAATCTCATTTTTTTTTGTTGAAACACCACCTAAATTATAATATATTTTTGTTGAAACAACCATTACAATTTATTTGATTTTTAGTATATGATAATAAATAAATTATACTTCTATTTAATAAAATATAAAACCGATTAAAATGTAAAAATATATTGTTATGACATGTATCTGTCACTTTTTGATGATGAGACAAAATCAAAATTTGATACGAAATATACATCCGCATACCAACTACTTGGTTGAAAACAATGCATTAATTCATTTATAGATCGATTGAGAAGATGCAAAATAGTCTCGTCCGCATGACATAGAAACTCTATTCTTGCGATAACTCAACAATAAGTATTCTTAATTTATATAGAATATAGATTACAATATATCATATTGACACCAATATGTCTACGATTTTAAAAATTCAAACAATAAACATCATACAATCTTCTTTCTCTCTTAGATTTTCATAATGGTTACCAATGTCAACAATGGTTTCATAATTGTTTAAAAACGTATTTATGCAACTGGCAAAAAAAAAAAAAATTTCATCTGCAGATCATCTTCATTTTAACCGTGTTTTTGATACACACAGACCCAATAAAAGATTTTTCAACCAAATCTTTGATATGTGAATGTATTTCGTATTAAATTTGATTTAGTTCTATCATAAACAACTGACGATACATTTCATAATAATTTATTTTTACATTTCAATCGGCTTTTATATTTTATTAAATAGAAGTATAATTAAAAAATTGTATTTATTTATTATTATATATTAAAAATCACATAAGTTGTACCGGTTGTTTCAGCAAAAATAAATTATAATTTAATCTTAAAATGGATAAGACTTGAGGTTAAAAATTATTATGCATTGAAAAAAAATATATAATTTTAGCCTACTGACAAAAAGCCACCCTTAACATTTTGCTTAAAATTTAACCATCGAAATCTGCTATTGTTTATGATAACCTGCAAATTGAACTAAATTGTAAGTAATAACCGGTTCTGGTGGTTAATGGTCAGGATAGATTTTTTTTGTCAATAGCAACTTTTTTTTTTTTTTTTTTTTGTAAAATACTAAAAGTTTGGTTGGTTATGGTTTAAACATGTCATTTATAATCTCCCTATTCTAATAAAAAAATAGTTTTAATATTCTTTTGACATGTGTCATCATATTAGGCCTCCTAATTAATATATATATATATATATATATATATATATATATATATATATATATATATATATATATTACCNCTCCTAATTAATGAATGTAATTTGTCAACCTATTAATTCTTCATTTCAAATTTTAAATTTTAAATTTTCTCATTCTAATTATATTAAATTAATAACATTAAAATAAAAATAAAAATAAAATTAATACAAATTATAAGATGATATAATTTCACGTATTTATTTAAATTAACGATTATAATTTTATATAACTTAAAAAATATCTCTTAATTAATAATTTATTTAAAATAATTGATTAATAGTTTTGAGTCCTCACTATAAAAGTTTAATTAATTTTGTAACGGTGGTTCCATAAGTTATAAACTAGTAATTGATATAACAATAGTTATATATTACATTTTTCTTAAAACTAAAATTGTTAAAATTATCCATAAAATTTAAACAAACCTTTTTATCAATTATGTACTTTGGTCGTACGATAGTCGAGAGGTTAGGGTTAATTGCCGCTTTTACTCATGGCGTTGAAATGACCTAACACGCCACCACTTGACCAGATGTGCTATCGTTTGTAGAACCAAGCTTTTGTCACCGGGTCAACTCAACTCAGTTTCTGCCTATCATCATCAACAACATAGCGAAATAGGTTTCAGAAAGAGACAGAAAAACACAGTAATCGGTGTTGCCACAATTTGCAATTTTTAGGAAAACTCGACGTTTTTTTAATAATAATTAACACAGCTTTCTCGGAGTCGCCGTCGTAGCGGTGCGGACTAATGGCGTCGGTGAAGAGAGAGATTACAGAGGAATCTGACGACCAACACCATCTTCCCAACAAGCGATCTAAGGTGCTTTTTGCCTATTTACTTTACAGTTAACGAAAAATCGTGCAACGAGTTCGTAAAATCTATGAAGTTTCATTGTTAGTATAATCGTAAATCTGCTTGCGTTTGATATTTTTTTCTAAATCGCGATAGATCTAAAAGTTCTAGATATCGATCTAGAGTTGTTATTTTATAAATTAGAGAGTGATTAGAATAGAATGATCCAACTTTGAGCCCTAGATTCTCTGGATAAGGTGTTTTTGTTGAGGTGAATGAATCTCATCAGTGCTTTAATCATCTCTTTCGTATTGGCAGCATCATAATTTTGGAGTTGATGCCTTTCCTGTACCACAAATGCAAATCAATCTATTAGATGAACCAAGTCCATTAGGGTTACGCTTGAGGAAGAGCCCATCACTCTTGGATTTGATTCAGATGAGGCTCTCAGAAGGAAATTCCTTTTCCAGTTCTACAAAAGAACACAAAAACACTGCTGCTTCTGCTGCTACAGACAAGCTAAAAGCTTCAAACTTCCCTGCATCATTCCTCAAGATAGGTACCTGGGAGGTAAATAATGTCTTCATATCTATACATAACTTTCTTTTTTGATTTTTTTCTCCTTTCAAACACTTCTTTTGATAAATTCGTCATGAACTTCTTGTAGTATACATCCAAACACGAAGGAGACCTAGTAGCAAAATGTTACTTTGCAAAACATAAACTCGTATGGGAAGTTCTTGATGGTGGACTCAAGAACAAGATTGAAATTCAATGGTCTGACATCATGTCTCTAAAAGCAACATATCCAGACGATGGCCCTGGAACTCTAGACATAGTGGTAAAATGTCGTTTTTACCCCTTCATCTTATCTTAATTCTTACCCACCATTGATTTTCCTTTTCTTTTTTGCAGCTAGCTAGGCAACCTCTCTTCTACAGAGAGACAAATCCACAGCCTAGAAAGCACACGTTATGGCAGGCCACGTCAGACTTTACAGGTGGACAGGCTAGTTTATACAGGCGCCATTGTCTACAGTGTCCACAAGGGTTATTAGGCAAACACTATGAGAAGCTTATTCAGTGTGACCCTCGACTTAACTTTTTAAGTCAACAACCTGAGATACCATTAATATCCCCTTACTTTGAATCCAAAAGATCAGTTTTTGATGAGCCAAATGAATCTATTGGATATAATTTAAGTAATGAGGGACCCACCACAGTTGACTTACATGGAACAATGTCAACATCAGGAGGTCAATCTTCTTCTTCTAGACCTACAGAATTCATTCGGGAAACACCTTCACCCAGCTCAGGTAAACATTGCATATACACACAATACTGTGTTGTTTTGGGCATTTCATTGGTTTTTTCCACTTTATTTAAAAAAACAAAAAATTGTTTTTTTTCCTTAATTATGTTTGTTCGGTTTTGGGTTTTTTGCATTTTGCACACACCTAGCAAAATGATAATTGGATGAAAATGTGATGTGATGATGTCATTTTTTTTGTATTTAACCAAATTATTTATGTATTTTTGGTATTGGTTTTATATGAACAGTGTCAGCGAATGAAGAAGTGAAAAGAGGCGACTTCAAGAGGAATGAGATAAAAGTGGGAGGGGTAGAATCGTCAATGTCCATGAGTGATTTGGTGAGTCACATTGAAAACAAGATCATAAAACACAGAGTTCCAGGCGATCATCATCATAATCATCCGCTTTCTAATGAAGAAAAAGAAAGTCTAGTGATTCTTGAAGATATCAGTCGATGTTTATTCAACGATGCCCAAAATGGATCATTGGCTTCTGATGAGCAGTCAATAATGTCTAGAGTTAACTCTCTTTGTTGTCTTTTGCAAAAGGATCCTGAAATTGTGCAAGATTTAAGTCAGACTGATAAAATAGAAAAGAGTTGTGATGAAGGTGATGAGAATAATAATGGAGGTGGAGGTGGAGGTGGAGGTGGGATGCGTAGGAACGACTCTGTGGGTGAGTTGTTGCTGAATCTACCTCGGATAGCATCTCTACCAAGGTTCTTTTTCAACTTGGATGATTTTGGGAATCAAAGTAGATAAAGATAAAAAGAGTATATTATGGAGATTGAGGTAGCTTTTGTAAAGTGTTGGGAGTTATCTAAGCTTTTGATTATGATGTATATATATGTTTGTGTTCTACTGTTCTTCACTCTCTCCATGATGAAATATCTTTGGAATATTATTTTTGATGTAAAAATTGGTATTAATGGGTTGGAGATAAATCACTCCTTACTCCATTGGAGATGTATGATATATTTGCATTTATTTCAGTTATTCTGGATGATCTCATACTTTTATTACTTGATCACGACACGTATGCTTGTATTTGTATTATATTATATTAGACTCACAAACAATGCCAAATGAAATAATATCATCATAACAAAAAAAGAAAAGTAAACTAAACTAAGGATCTTGTGGGATTTCATCATCTTCCAAGTTCTCATGTTCTTGAAGCATATTCATAAGCATATCAACCTGATTCTGCAACATTGCATTTTGTCTCTCAACATCACTACGCTTGCTTCGTTCATCTAGCAACTGCAACTGAAGATGTTCAAGCACACGCGAATCCTCTTCTAACTGCTCGTTTAGCCCATCAATCTCTCTATCCTGCAATTAATCAATCCATCTTCATATTTCACTTGGATGAGACTAGACAAGACTAGTTTATACTGGATTGGATTGAACTCTACTAGATGAGATTGGACTAAACTAGACTATACTGTACTGAACTAAATGAGACTGGATTGGATGGGACTGGACCATACCGAACTAAATGGGCTAGGCTAGACTAGATTGGACTGGATCAGATAGAACAAGACCAAATTAGTCTGGTTTGTACAATTTTCTCGGGCTATTTTGTCCTATGACATCCATCTCATAGGATATTTATCGTATCACATTGTAGCAAAAAAAAATTGCAATTTTATCCTATTGACGTCACAAAATGCCCTACAATCTGTTTTGTCATGTCCTGTACTGCATACCTTTCTGTTCATTTCTTGTACGGCAATCCTGCGCATGCTTTCAACAACGTCAACGTTTACAAGCTTTCGTTTCTTCCCAATGAGCCATCCGCGAGGGTAACTGGCAGAGTCAAAGTCGGGTGGGGGAAGTAAAGATTCAGCTGAAGGTCTTCTGCCATTCAAATCCATTATTGGTTCAAGAGGTTCAAAGAGAGCCTTACGTTTCTCTGAAAGTATACTTGTTTCCTCCATTTTCTCATCAGTGGAATCATCGTTATTGTTATTGTTATTATTATCGTTATTGTTCTCGTTTGTTTTATCTTTATCTTCAGTTGAGTCTTTAATATTGTCCTTGTACAAATTCTTCATACTAGCTGCAACCATAAAGCTGCTAAATCAATAAGAAAAAAAAAACACGTAATTATATTTTAAAACATTATTTTTCCTATTCCAAATTGGCGTATTATAATATCAGCAATCAAAAGTCAAAATTTGTTGCCTGTTGGCCATCAAATCACATAAAATAATTGCGTATCTCCTTGTATAGTTGTATTCATCTATTAAAAGCAATATTTTGATCGTTTATTAAATGTTCATAATTGTATTAAGGAACTTATGAACAACTATAAGTTTTATTAACTTTCCTTTAAATAATTTTGACTTTTCGAAATGAAACTTTGACCTTAACGACTCCGGTTATCTCTTTCGTTTGATCAAAGTAACATTAAATTCATAACAATATATGCTTCAAAAATCATGAATGTCGAACTATTTCCAACATGAAAGAACACAGATCTACAGTTCTTAACAATTAAATCAGCAACAATTTATATCGTTGCACATGAAACTCATTAATCGTGAAATAATCACACAAACACAGAGGCTAATTAAAAAAAACGTTGATTACCTGCTCTCTTGCGAGATTTCCAGAAAACAGGCGTAGAAGTCACCGGAGAGAAGCCATTAACGAGAATACTCTGCACCTCCTTCTTACCTTCTTCCATTTCTCCGCTGTTTACAAACTCAGCAATCAATCAACTTCACCAATCTTCTTGTTGTTTATAACTTCAAAAAACTGAAATCACAGAATACGATACAAAGAGATAAAACTTGAAGGAAGGATAGAAAGAGAGAGATTCGCTTCGTTTTCTTCTGATATATTGTTTGTTGTTGTTCTTGTAAATAGTGTAGTTGTCGCTTAACGCAGAGGTTTATTTTAATGGTGCCGATAGGATCAATGGTGTGGAAATTGGACGGTTAGGATTTGGTGATTGTAGGGTCGACTGAGTCTCCACGGTGGATGAGGTTTGGTTTGTTGTCTCTTTTCGTCTGCTTTCATATTACTCTATCCTTCTATTCTGATTTCTGGGTCCTTTTCTTTCCCGCAACAAAGGATTACAAAATGTCAAATTTACTGAAATGCACAGGATTTTTTGCGATATTACGAAAAACCAGAAGGTAGTATTCAGTGGAGGCATGGTCAAAAAAGGAATACTGTCTGACAACACGCACTTTAATAGATCCTTTTTATTATTTTATCAAATATATTTAAATACAATATTTTTATTGGCAAATTTCGTGGACTTATATTCATTTAGATAAAGACTTTTGGGGTAGTTTACACGTTACGGTTAAAATTGTAAACCAGGTCTTATATGTTTTTTGAGATTTTTGAAAACCGCATACAACATTGCACTACAAAATTTTTAAATAATGTTTTGACATTAATTATTTATAGATTTTTTTGAATCTAAAATAGATGACTATATTTAGTAAAATAACGACAAGTCACTCTAAATAAATTTATTTTCTCTAAATGACCACGTATGTCAACTTTTTTATTCAATGTCCTTTATTCTTCTTTATAAAAATTATGTCAGCTTTTGCAACCAAAGGAGGTAAAAGCTTTGTTATGGTACCAACACATTTCAAATATTCGTCTCATAAAGTGTAACGGATGATGTTGCAAAAAAGTCGGAGGTTTTATCAAAATATTCTTGTTCAAACTCAACTTTATTTTCTTTAAGTCAAATCACATCAAGTTTTTAAATAAAATACAGTTAGTAAGAGCACAACAAATGAAACAAACAAACTATTAGCATTTCACAAAAAAATAAATAAAAAGATTTGACCATTGAAGGAAAATTTCAGAAAATTTGAATGCACTTGAAAACCCTAATCGCTGAAAATCGAAGGATGACTTTGGTGGTGTCTGATGGTGTCGGTGGTTACCAGCGAGAATAGCAGCTTTGGTGGTGGTTCCCGGCTAGATTGCCGGTGGTTTCCGTTGAGAGAGTGAAGAAAGAGAGATAAATGAAGTTTATGTGCGTTAAGAATAGGGGTGTGGGTTGGGTGGGGTTGTTAGGGGTAGGGTTAATTTATTATTATTATTTATAAAAAAAATCCAAAAAATAATTAAGTAAATAAAAGAAATAGAAAAAAGAAAATCTTAAGGGCAAATCCGCCTTTTTCAAGTGCATTCAAAATTTCGAAGAAAGAAATTTGCAAGACATTCTAAATTTTGGAAAAAATTGTAATCGAACTGCTCTTTTTGGGATACCAATTACCAAATGGACCAAATTTGCAATATACTCAAAGACATATCTTACAAGACACAAGTCATTGTCATAATCACAAACAAAAACTGATCTAGCACAAATTTCATTAGCAGGGCAAAATTTCATCCAAACAAATAATACACAAGAAATCTAGGAAATAATTCAACTTAAAAACAAACAATAAATCCATTTTACAAATCTAATTTTCTACTAGGTAGAGGAAAGACCTTCAAGTTTAATCTCCCTTTCTGTGTTGATGTGAAACACGAAAGACTGCAAAACAGATAGAACCCAACATTCCAACCAAGTACCCGAGAATAGCTCCATAAGTTACACAAATTGGCCATTCCTATTAAAAAAATAGGTGTTGTTAAAAAGATAAAATGACCATTTTACCCTTCACTTTGTTGCACAACATCAAATCATGTTCTTAAAATTGTAAAGTAAGAAAAAGTTACCTGCCATGTTCTTTCCCAATCAAGGGGCATAGGCCATGCCCCAAACCAAGCTCCAATTACTGCACCATGTGCAGGTAAACATATCATATAATCAATAATTCCAATTAGCCTGCAAATTAAAAAAAAATGCACATGTAAAAAATATAACATAAAAACGGAAATTGAACAACTTATATTATTATTAATCAATAATCATTTACTTTGTATGCACAAATGTATGTTGCCAATCAACCCATGAAGAACCATACACACATGCTGCAGGAACAAACTGCAAATAAAAATATACATGCAACTATGAATTGTGAACATTTTCATAATGTTTTTAAAACTAGAAAATAATTTTTTTTTATTGATTCACACTTACTGTAAATGCAGACATTAGAAGAGACCAGTTGAGGGTTCTTTGAAAGTAGCTGCATTTAGACAGAAAATTTTCTAACTTTAATGAAAAAATTAGTCTTCTTAAATTTTATAAAGTTTGACGGATTAAGTCGCCTACTGAGTTCCGATAGGTGCCCCTAAAGCAATAGCTCCAAGTGCATTGATGATTGCCCCTGAAAGTTTAAATTTGTTGTGTGTCCCAGTAAAAAAATTTAGAGTTTTATGCAAAAGATTTAAGGGTAAAGACTAACCAATTGGAAGCCCTAGTAAACCTCTAGCTACAGCCTTCAAGTACTGCAAATGTAAGACATAAAGTAAACCCTAGTTGATTGCATAGAATAGATTATATATATAATCGATTGTAGAAAAAAGAAATGATGAATTACCGAACTCTGATTCTTATCTTTCCGAAAGAGACTGTATATCAAAATCACAACTGGGACTTCAATCAGCTGCAATAACAGATTCAAATTCAGTTTTTGGAGTATGTTTTTGCTCAATTATTTAGGTACGAACGTGTTGATTGGAAATTTCTGAAACTTGTTCACATCTTATTGTTAGGGAAATCAGTGAATAATCTCTTCAATTACCAAAATCACATACGAGCAAATAGGTGATATCACACTGCACTAACTCTGTATACTTTTGGGAAATCATGGAATCTCTAATTCAGATACAACTCTTGGTTTTCTATAGATCTTAGTAGAGATAGAAAGGTAGGAAGATCAATTGATAGTAATAAATGGGCATCATCACTTATCATCCAGATTTTCATTCAAAAAGTATGGAATAGAATAAACCTTACATATTGATTAACAGGGAAACATTATTACAAATACTTTACTAAAAAACAGTTCTTAAATCACAAAATAGAACGATGAGTTTATAGAGTATTATTACCCATACTAAACGAAGAGTTTCGGCTGGATTATCGATCAAGTTGATGGAGTACACATTAATTGCTAGCCAAAATGATGAAGCTAACCCAATGCCGCAAATCAAATGCGATAATAGTAGTTTCGAAGGTGATAGGACGCCTCCGCTGGTGGAAACTTTAGTGTTGTGGCCTTTCTTCTTATCCTTCATCTCCACGTTAGCTTTATTGATGTAAGGTTGTTATCGGTGAGAAAACACGGCGAGAAGCTTCATGAATAAAGACAGATATTCATAAAAAAAAACGAATTGCAAAAATTAATCAGAAATTTCATGAATACTAGAAAGTAGAACTTACAGATATTAACAATCAGAGGCTCAAATACTCTCATAATCAGATTCTACACAGATTCTATTCTCGATTTCGTCTTAATTTCAAGAAAAAAAAAACTGGAAATCGAAAGTAAGAAGGGCAAGAATCGAGATTCACATTCACCGGTGCTATTTCAGTAAAAGAAACTGGAAATCGAAAAGAAGAAGGGTCATTGAGGATACCCGAACCGGCTTCGTTTTTAAGCCCCCGGCCCATATATGTCAAACGATATTATCAATGGACTATGGTCTAGAGATTATGGAGTATGAGCCCATAAAAAAAGGAGTAAACATTAATATATTTTATACTATCCTATTGATTTAAAAGAAATTGTCTAATTACTTTTTAGTCCCTGTAGTTTTTTGTTTAAAAAATTATAAATTTTGTTAATTTAGTTTTGATTTTTTTTAAAAAAAAAAATTAATAAGATTTTTCGTCTTTATAATTTACGATGAATTGATTACAGTTTTAATCTGTTTTAGTTTTTAATTTAGTAGAATATAATTTTGATGCATATAGCTTTTAATTCTAAAAGGAAATATTTTATTTACATTTTTGGTCTTTATAATTGTTAATTTAGAAAATTATGTTTTTGGTCCTTGTAATTTTCAATTCTAAAATTATATCAGTAAAGAATGATTGAATTATAGTTTTAGTATGGGAGGTTTGCATTGTTATGCGCTTTAAGTGGATGTTTTGAAATTTTACATCGTCACCGTCAACCTTCTTATGTTATAATATGACCATTTTAACCTCATTTCTGTCTTTATTTATTAATATAAATTATTTATTATTTGTTTTAATAAATAGTTCATCTATGTCTTTATTTTTTAATTATTTTGCGTGTGTATATCAAATATATAAATTACGTAAGTAATTTCAGATATCAATATTTTGTACTACTCAGCTGAAAGTACAAAATTAATAACCCTACCACAAGGCACATACCATCACTACTTGTATTATTATTTTGTTGATTTACACTAATTTTATTCTAGAAAAAAATCTATTTTTATAAATTATTTTAAAAATAAAAAATCATGTGTCATATTTGACATTAATCAAATACGTAGTTTTAATAATTAGAAAGACCATACAAAAATGTTTAATTTTATTTTGTAAGGTGTTGAATTTCATTTTTAAGGCAATGGTTTAAGTCTTGTTTGAAACATAAATAATGAATTTAAAAAATAGTTTAGAAGTAGAATATATTTGTCATTCCAAATTAAAAAAAGAAAAAGAATAGTTAGTCAAATATAACAAAGATTTAAATTTTAAATATGACTACAGGTGCGAAAAGAAAATAAATATTGAGATGATGGGTAGCTCACTAACATGTAACTAGCACATTAGAATATTAAGTGATTAAAGGAAATCTCACAAAAAAAAAAAAAGACTTTTCACTTCAATGGTATTAATTTTCACAAAGACTTATTCAAATAGTAATAACATATAAATTAATTTTCTATAAATTAGAGCAAGATACAGAAAAACAAAATTCAGAAAAACACAAGAAATCTTATTTACCTATCAAAATCATTTAAATAGTTATGGCTCTGGAATCAATAATTATGATAATGTAGTGTTTTTTTATAAAACTTGTTGAACAGTACTCTTTTTAAAGATCATAACGTAAGAAGCTTTGTTGCTTGATAGTTTCGATCGATTATTCATATATTTGGTTTGTTATTTGGAATAAAAGATTTAGTATTAGGAGTTCATGGTGTTTAAACCCTATATTATCTATTCCTTTGTAAATATTTGGT